ACACGCTCCTTATCCTTTTTTAACTCATAAATTAAAGGGTTGGATTAGACCTCAAAGATCTTTTTAGATTCTAGGACCCCACTGACTTACAACTGCCTTGCACACAGAAAGCACACACATACAGATTTGTTTTGTGGAGAGGGGAGGGTAATATTACCAACACATCAACGCAAGGCAGCAAGGCTATTCCCAACACCTCCTTTTGTTTCACCTCCAAGATTTCAAGCATAGCACTTTCCTTGGAAGTCCCCACCCCTTAATTTTCTATTGAATCCATTAATAACAGTTTGGGTCCTCATCGACTATTTTCTCCATCCTCAGCCACAGCGTTATTACATTTTACAGCTGTACTTCAGAGATAAAGAAAGGAAGTCAGGCTAGGAAAAGTGGGTCAAGACTGGGGGGAAAACCCAACACAAAGATTTTTGGGATCTGGACTATCTGAACAGATGAAATTTCATAGAGAGAAAGGCCAAGTTCAGCACGTAGATCCCAAAACTACATACATGGAAATGATTTAGTTTATCAGTAGCACATACACACACACAGAGTTATGATTTCAGTTGACTATAATTTCAGTGAGTCAAGAATATACAACTGCTTAGAAAAAAGAAAAACTAGCACCTTATTTTTCTGTTTGTTTGTTTTTAACATAGTATTAAAAACAAAGGAGTAAAGGTTACTGTTACTCTGTACAGTTTTAGGCAACATTGTATACTGAACAGTGTATGCTGTGCTGAGTGCCACACTTTAAGAGGGGCATTAAAGTAAATGAAGAGCAAAGGACTACGAATTGATGAGGGAACTTAAAACTAGAAATTAGAAACAGCTGAAGGAAATGGGATACATATTTAGCCTGTGGAACAGAAGACCTAGGAAGAAGATGGCAAGCTCAATGACGACGAGGGCCTGAAAGTAAAGTAAATGAGTAAAGCCAGCAGGCAGAGCCTTCAGCAAAACGGAGAGTATTTATATATATTTAGGGAGACTGCTGCCATCAGAAATATGATGTCTGTATCACCAAATTCCCTAATTTTTCCTCAAGAAAAGCCAGAAATAGATTTCTATGTGAAATCTCCCCATTACTAAAAGTAGGCTTCCAATTTCAGTTTTTGTGTAAGTGAAATGATTTACTCAGAGGCCTTATCTGATCCATGCACACCAGTTTGCAACTCATATCTTAGGGGAACATGATGGCTACCTTCCAATATCGGAAGTACTACCACAGAGAATAGGGATAGACTTGTTCTATTGGGTTGTTGGAAAAGTCATGACGCATTTTTGCAACAAAAAACATAGAAAAAATACGTCATGACTCTTCCGACAATCTAATATATGACCCTAAAAAGTGACAAAGAGAGGCAAACTGCAGCTCCATATGGAAAATCTTCCTAAAAACTAGTCTACACATTAGAATGGGCTGTCCAGGGAGGTCCATGTCATTGTAAGTATTCAAAGGGGGCCAGGTCAGTAAATATTATTGGCCAGCTCAAGAATTCTGCCCTTTACTACATCTGGCCCCGATCAAATAACCAAGCCCCTCAAGTCTCCATTTGCTTTCCTACCTTCCTTCCTTCTCCTTCCAAAAAAGGAATATTGTCACAGTTAGCCTCCTATCTCTTAGAGTTAGTGTAAAGATCAAAATCTTTGTGACAAAAAAATTTTATGAAAGTATTATACAATGTAAAACAACTATGGCAATTGAAGACATTATTGTAATCTACCATCATAATGTAGTTATGTATGTCTTCTCTTATTACACAGGCTAAGGACATATTCCCAGCCTAATTCATTTTTTCCTCCTCCCTCAAAGTATCAAATATCTGTTGAAAAAAATGTTTAAAAGGAAGTTGGAGACGTAGGTTACACTGACAACAATATAAGGTAGGATAAAAGAGAAAACCCTGACCAAAGCAAACATCCAGAGTGTCAATCATTAATGTCACTGACCAGCCTAAAAGGTAATGGGCAGTCAAATGGAGGAATAAACAAAGTAATGACGTGTGTGAGGAGGAAACACTCTAGGGCAGGCATTGGCAAACTATAGCCTGATTTGTAAATAAAGTTACCCTGGAACACAGCCTTGCTCGGTTATGGACCGGATGTACGCATGGATTGTATATATGTATTATGTGTACGCTGCTTTCACTCTACAACAGCAGAGCTGAATAGTTGCAAAGCCTAAAATAATTACTATTTGCCCTTTACAGAAAAAGTTTACCTGCTTTTCTATAAAAAATACTCTATTTACAAACCACAGAGGTGGCTGATTGCTGACACGTAGTTCATCTTCCTATGGTTCCATCCCTGGAATTTTAATGGGTCATTTCGGTGGATGCGAACAAAATCTTACACAATAAACATTATGCCCTAAGTGTAGGGGAGGTAAATATGTCACTAAATGGAGTCTCCTCCATATTCCTCTTATACGTATACTCAAGATTAAAAACTTTTTAATCCTGCTTCTCTTCCACCTAGTGATATCACCCAAGAGATCCAAAAATCCCCAAGTACACAAGGAGTGCAGGACTGGTTCAGACAGGAAAAGATCACACATATAGTCTCTGTTCCTCTTGAGTTCTCAAACTCACTCTGCCTGAGCTCCACTACTTTCATGGAACCTGTAAATACGTGAAAAACCCTTTCTTTCCTCTTATTCTATCATTACAGGTTTCCAAAAGAAACCGTTACTAAAAATTAAAGAGGAAACAGAAATAAAATGGAAATATGTTAACACAAGTTATCTGAGCTAAATTTAATATTCAGCAGAAATGACTGCAGTTTTAGGACTTTATGAAAGATTCGTCTTCCTTGCCTCACTCTGAAATAACTATAGGCAAAGGCGCTCAAATCTCTGCCAGCAGATCTGGACGGACCTTCATTTTTCTCCTAATATCTGACTCCACTTCTACTTCAGGCAATATTTCCAACTCCACCAGAGGACTACTTACCAGTCTCACTTCAAAATGGGGGGCGGGGGGAGTACACACACACACACACACCACACACACACACACACACACACACACACACACACACACCCGCCACCACCTCACTCCTGCACCACCCTTCAGTGACTTTTTCATTCAACAGCTAGCTTAGTGTCCTCAGGGAAAAGGCACATCCCTATCTAATCCCCATACATTCTTCTGATGACTTCAAACCACCCTTTGAACCTTCCCCACTCTCTTACTTCGAACTAACTCCATTTCTCAGGGTTAACCTCACCCCTGACTCATTTCTCTGTCGCCTGTTCACTTAGTCTTGTCACTCACAGGTTATAAGTCTGAGGCCTAATCATTAAGAGATTTCAACTGCACACCCAACATTCAATGCCAGTTCGGCCCCTCCAGAAAAGCGAAGAGTGGGGGAATAAACATACATGCTTGTCCATCTTTCGGTTAGTAGGTATGCCCCCTGAGAGCATCAACCATATCTTCAGGTCTGAAATGAATGTTTCAAGTTTTCTGGAGATCCACAATGCTAATTCTTTCCCAAAAAGCCTTTAAGCTGGTTTCCCACATACTTATGAGTACTTATGATTCCTCAGGCTCCCCAGAGGATAAGGTATTTTTAACAGACCAAGTAAGAGTTTAAGAAGATGGCTCTTTTCCATCATGAAATATTTAAAAGTTCCCCTGCTACATAAGCTGGTTAGAATGCTTAGCTTCACTCAAAAGACTCTCAAGGCCCCACTATCCCAGGGCACCCTGATAGTTATAAAAGCTGTACCAGATGCAAAACTAATTGTTGAGCAAAACAGGGGAAAATGCGGACAGGCTGCACGACCGCAACACACAAAGACTTTTTAAAAACAAAAGAACACATGGAGAGCCCGGCCTTCAAAAGTGAAGCTACCTACGTTGGAGGAATAGGACAACATGAGAAGAAATGCTAAAGGTGCCTCTTAAGTAAATCACATATGGGAAAAAAAAATGAACATGTGCTGTTCTGCGTTTCCTCCTCCTCCTCCTCCTCCTCCTCGGGAGTCCAACCAAAAGGACGTGATGAAGCCCTTAGAATTTTGGAAAAGGAAAGAAGGTCCAGGAGAAGTCCACCAAATTCAAGTCCTTTAAGAGCCACAGATGTCTAAAAAGGAACTGAAACATTGGCATAATGTGGAGAAGGGATTAACACCCTAGCTGCAGTCTGGCACCCCTGCCTGATCTCCCAAGGGCTCCGCATTCAGACTACCTATCCCCTGCAGCGCGGGGGTCGGGTCCTCGGCTAAGATTTCAGTAGTACAGACGTGCACCCTGCAGCCCCTCTCCTGCCCAAGCAGCGCTAGGCCCATCGCTACGGAGCCTGGGCCTGAGCACCAGAACCCCAGATGTACAGAACAGCAGCACCTGGACCCTTGGACAGGAAGTGGCTATTTTGACTGTGGGCTCATCATGAAAGGAGGTGAGCTTGGCAAAACGAGCCAGAGGAAGAGCAGCTGCAGAGGAAGAGTGTCTGAATGCAGTGCAAAGCAGATGTGGGGGTGTGTGGGAGGGGAAGGGTCGGGGGAGCCCCTTCGTCGACAGCAGATGCTCTACACAAGCAGCTGGACAAATATAGGGGGGGCAAAGGAAGGGTGGAGGGCTTTATGGCGCAGACGAGGCTGCACGGCTGACGCCGAGCTTTCAAGAAAAAAGAGGTGGGAGTGGGTGCGAGGCAACGCAAACCCGGGCTATCGGGGCCGTATGGGGGCGTTGTGTTTAAAGCTCCCACGTTGACCTGTTCACCCTCCTCGCTGGTGGTTAAGGCCCTAAGGGTTCCCTCTCCAGACCCCCCCCCCCGAGAAGTGTGGGAAGGCCTACGCCGAAGCTGCACGCCCCCGCTGCGCTGGGCAGAAGCCACCCCGCTTGCTCCAGTGGCCCCAGCGCTGCCGGACCCAATCCCGCCCGTCCGCCCGGTGCCCTGCGCTCGGAGCAGCCCCGAGATCCCTACCCCGAGCCCCTTCCGGGCCACCGCCCCCAGCTGCTCCGGGCTCCCGCAGCTGCCGCCAGGAGTCCTACCGGCTTCCAGTTCAGGGACGAGCCGCCACCGCCGCCTGTACGAAACTCGGGTTCCCAAAAGCCGCTCTCGCCGCCTGCTGCCCGCCTTGCAGGCCGCGCGGGATCCTCCGCTCCCCCTGCCGGCGGGCAGCCATTTCCGACAAGCGACTGCGGAACTTGCCGAAGTGCGCCGGGCCGGAAATGGCCGAACCCGGCCGCTCGCGAGCGGCTGGGGGCGTTCGAGACTTTCCGGACAGCGCCCGAAGGCCCGCGGAGGCCTCCGCTCCGCCGCCGCGGCTGGCCAGGGTCCCGCCGCGGCGGCGGCGCCGCAGGGGATTGTGGGAAACGCCCCGCGGGAGGGGCGGGGGCGGGAGCTGCGAGCGGAGCGCAGCCGGCGGGAGTAGGGCCTGCCGGCCCCTGCGAGCTCTCGCCGGCGTCCCATCAATACCTCTCACCCTTTCAGGAAACCCTATCGAGGGAGAGCGGAGAGACTGCTCCCGGCTGTGCTGGGAATGGCTGCCGACTCCAGAGCCTCGGCCGATGGGAGCGGCCGGTGAAATTCAAGTCTAAAAATAAACCCACCCCCATAGGAAAGGCCTTCCTAAATGCTGACCGCGCTCCAACAAAGGTCTCTGAGTTTTGAAACACTTGGAATATGTAACCACCAAGAAAAGGCCGCTCGGCATGCATGCTTACGGAAAAAATCCCAGAGCTTTGCAAAAAAACAAGAGCTTAATCCAGTCGTGTGGCAAGGATCAACCAAAACTGGGAGCAAAGAGGAATACCATTTGAAATACTTAAAGCCAGCCCCGGTGAACCGAAGAGTGTGCATCGTCTACAGTCCTAAGAGACATGTGACTGTCTACTTCCACACATGCGAAGTCGGGACAAGACTTTTTAGATAACTGATGGGGGTGAGCGAAGGAACTCGACCAAACCTCAGACACACACCTGATCGTTATTGTTAACTCAGGGATAAGTGAAAACCATTATCTAAAATCTATAACTGCAATATAATCTAAGATCAAATTTGCATACATACATATATATATATATATATATATATATATATACATATATATATATATATATAATATTTTTTACATGTTTTAAATCCCCAAAGAGCATGGCTTCTACTCCAGGGCTTCCTAACCAGGGAACCCAAACCACACCAGGACCTGGGGGACTGGCTCCTATCCCGATGCTTGGGTGGTCTGATGCTTTGGATGAACTACACCCCCGAGATGGCTCCACAGCTGCGGTATCCCATCCTCATACCCTTCTTGGTGGAGCCCAGGCCAGTGCTTTTAGCTAGGAGGACTACGAAACACTGAAGATTGCTTAATTTCCCACAGGGGACAGTTTGGACTAGGGATTCCGATTGCAAAACAAAACTTTAAAAAACCTAGCAACCTGATTTCCAGAGCGCACCGCACCCTTCAGCTCGCCATACCCATCATACCCTCCTCTTTCTGACCCTTTTTCTTCTCTTTCCTGACATCTCCTTACTCTCCCCTCTCCCGTTTTCCTTTCCCCCTCACATCTCACTTTTTTCTCTCCTTTCCCCTTTATTTCTATGAACTAACATTCAAAGTCCTACCACCATAATATATGTACAAAAACAACCCCTTTCTAGTACCAATTTCGTTGAGGAAAGTCAAAGAGAAGGAAGCAATTTTTTAAAAATCAAAAGCATTCCAACAAATGAAAATGGGTGAAACTGTTAACCATATATTACAAATAGCCTAAGTTGTCCTTCTTGTTTCACTCCGCCCCTCCCTCCCTTCCTCCCT